GCAATCATCTTATTTAAGGTATTAAAATTTGCCACGTACGATGGCTAAACATTAATCATGATTCTACAAAACTTTAGGCTTAATAAATCGTAAAACTAATCCACGGCTCAAAAGTAATGCATGGTAAAATAGCTAACAAGAAGGTAGATCAGGAGGAGGCTTGAGCATTCGAGATGATTTCGTCGGTCCATCTTTCACTATGAACACTGTGTTCATTCCCCATGTCGCATGTCTCTCTATATGGCAATGCAACAACCACACCCCTAAATAAAACCAAAATCAACATCACTTAAAATCTCTAGTGTGCAAACTTTATTTTATCTTAAGTAATATAATCATGAAAAATGTATAATCTTTAATATTTTGCTAAGCACTAATCAACTTTTGAAATATCTAAATCGAATATATGATAGAAGTATATAATATAATATAGTGGATTATATTAGTAGTATCGTTTTTGTGTTATGTAATGTGTTTGTTATTGTAGACGAAAAACAATAACTCTATTATTTGTTGAAATCTTTTATGTTTATCGTAAATGATTTCTTGTATTCCATAAAATTTTGGAATTCTATGTTTTTTTTAAAATATTTCTTGTATTCTTAAATGGAATAACGTTTTCAAGTTGAGAATCGTAATAAAATGTACGGAGCTGCGAACTGACCTGGATTGTTAGCTATGAATCTAACGGCGGTCCAGCCGTTACGAGGAACTCCGACGGTGGTCTCCTCCGGTGGATCAACGAGATTATACCTCAACGGATCTTTCTGGCGATCGAAATTCCCAAAACCCGAACCCACAACAAAGAAGCTATACCCATGGAGATGAATCGGATGATTATCCGAAGCCAACACATTCGTCCCCTGCAAAACCAACTCAACACTCGAATTAAAATCAAGAACCACCACTTTCGTCCCAAACCTCGTCGGAAACGGAAGATTCTCTCCGGTGTAATCGAATTCCGTCGGCGGATTTCTCGGGAAATCCTCCTGAAAAATACCTCCGATACGGCGATAATAAGCTCGGAGAATATCGATCGAAGGGTTCACGAAGCTGATGTTGTTAACGCTCGACGAGAATCTCTTCCCGTAAGGACCGGTACAGGGTTTATCGTCGGAGCAATTCATCAGATTCACGGAGATCGCGTAGAGAAGACGAGTGTCGATTTTAACCGGGATGTTAACCGGACGTAGGCTTCGAAATTGGCTAGTGAACCGTGTTGTTGCTTCGGTATGGTTGTAAGGAGGTAAAACCGGTGGGTTTCGGTTTAATTCGTCGGTTAAGGGGACGCCTTCGTATTGTAAGATGGCTGTGGTGGTGGTTTTGTCAAAACCGGCACCAAAAGCAGAGGAGTAAGCTCGAGCAGCTAAAAAGTAGCGGTCTGACCGCTGGTTTGCGTGGAGGAGGACGTCCATGGATTGACCTGGAGTGATCATTAAGTAAGTAGTGTTGAATTGTTTTAAGTAGAGACCGTCTTTGGCCACAACGGTTAAGGTATGGTTTGCGATTGCAAAGAAGAGTTCTTCGTCCATCACGGCGTTGATAATCCGAAGAAGGTATCGCCGGCCAGGCACAACCGTTACTGTGAATGTGTCTGTTTCGGAATAACAAAGGAAATTCTTAATCTTTTGATAACACAAAGCTTTGTGTTGGAAACTTAGAAGAGACTTACCCGGTTTAGAGCATGGGTATAGATAACCGGGTTGTCCGTTTATTGTATATGCATCGGAGATAGCCGGTTCGCCTCCGGTTTTATTAGCACTTCCTGGTATATCCATTATGTTTTTCTTCTTCCACCATTCACCTATCACATAACAACGTTACACCATAATAAAATAACAATATTGAAATTTTGATTCGTAGCAATCCAAAAATGAATATAGATGTATTAATCTCATTAACAAGAAAGAGTATGAATGTACCTAAAATGAGAGGGAATTCGCGGTGAGGTGTAGGAAAAGGATATGACGAGCCGCGTTTCGGGTAGACGATAAACGCTCCATGGACGGTTGCTCGTGCCCATTGGCTATGCGCGTGCCACCAAATTGCTCCTTCTTCAATCGTAAGATCAATTCTATATACATAGCTTTGTCCTGGTCGGATTGGACACTGGGTGACATACTCAGGTCCGTCTGACCACGGATTCCTAATTTGTCTAGCTCCATGCCTAAAATGTTAAAACGTCTCTATTATAAAACATTAGTCAACACGAAATCAAAGTGTGATAACAAAAGAGTGTTTACCAATGGAGGGTAATATTATAATTTGCATTGTTGATGACATTGACGATGAGCTTATCTCCACGGTAGGCTCTTAACGTTGGTCCGGGGAGTTCTCTGTTCACCGTTAAAATCTCTTTGGTATTACAAAGTCGTGTGTACGCTTTTGACTTTATCTGTATAGATAAATTCGATATTATAATATGATTTCTTATTTTTCTTTCCTCTTAACATTGTGAAAGTAATTTAAAAAAACAATGTGAAAGTAACATTTACGATACCTTCAAAGTATGACGATGAACCTTTGCTTCTGTGATTTGGAATGTAAGAAAAGCAAAGAGGAAGAAGCCTATAGCTAGTGTGTTGGGAATGTTGAGCTTGAACTCCATGGTTGTTCTTCTGAACAGAGAATCTCAGATAAAATGTAACAAATCTGAGGATTTATA